TCTCTCTCTCTCTCTCTCTCTCTCTCTCTCTCTCTCTCTCTCTCTCTCTCTTTTTTTTTTCTCTCTCTCTCTCTCTCTTTCTCTCTCTCTCTCTCTCTCTCTCTCTCTCTCTCTCTCTCTCTCTCTCTCTCTCTCTCTCTCTCTCTCTTTCTCTCTCTCTCTCTCTCTCTCTCTCTCTCTCTCTCTCTCTCTCTCTCTCTCTCTCTCTCTCTCTCTCTCTCTCTCTCCCTCTCTCTCTCTCTCTTTTTTCTCCCTTTCCTCTTCCTCCTGTCACATTATTTTCTCTCTCCCCCCCTCTCTCTCTTTCTCTCTCTTTCTCAATAAGCGTAGTGTATGTGTGTGTGTGTGTGTGTGTGTGTGTGTGTGTTTGTGTGTGTATGTGTGTGTGTGCGTGTGTGTGTGTGTGTGTGTGTGTGTGTGTGTGTGTGTGTGTGTGTAACTAGTAGAACCCACAAAGAAAAAAGACAAGAGCTTTTTGAACGAAAGATAGGAAAAGGATGAGGTGTAGCAGAAAAAAAAAAGAAGACAGGGGTCGGCTATTAAACTGGACACATGGAGTTTCTCATTATGGACAAACAGTTTAAACAAGATAAGATTGGAAAGGACATGTGTGACAGAATGCAACAGCTTGACATTCAGTAGAATCTGGAAAGAGTGAAACATTAGTGACGAACCAGCTGTGCTGAATCGTAATTTCTAACAACGGTACTAAAACGTTGTTTATTAATTGCCCAGGGACGCACGTATCGGCTGGGGAGTCTGACCAAGTAGAGAATCTTTGGTCTGATGCTCGACATGTATTTTTATAAAAATTATACGTAGCATAGGAGTATCAATTCGGCGGCCAGTCAGTTATAGGGGTGAGTATAAAATAATAGTATGTATTTTATTGGGTGAGTGGGGGGAGTTTTTTTAAAAAATTTGCTTTTGTTTGTTTGTTTGGGGGGTTGTTTGTTTGTTTGTTTGTTTGTTTGTTTGTTTATTTGTTTGTTAGTTTGTTTAGTTGGGGGTGTTAGTTGGTTGATTTAGGTAACTTCGATCTTGTTAAATTGTATTTGTTGAATGTACCGTATTATTCCCTTCATTTTTTAAAAATGATGCGATTGGGAGGGGGGGGGGGGAGGGGTAACTGCAACACTGAAGGCACCATGCCATGCAAAAAAGTCAGTGTGTGGTTCAATGTGGTCACAGGAGGCTAAATTTGACCTTACCAAAGCCAAAGTGAACCGTTACAAGCACCGAAAAATTTTCTTCTCTAAAATTGTCTCCTTTCACCTCCTCCTGCTCTCTAGCAATGTTCTGTTGTCTGCTTTCATTTCCACTTTCTGCCCCCACCCCCTCACCTCCTTTGCCCCCTCCCCTGGGCTCCTGACTCTTTCTGCAGCCTTTCTACTGCTACTCCTTGGCTCCTCCGTACTGCTGTCTTTCTGTACACCCTGATCTTCTGGTAGGAAAGATCTACACCTAGCTTTCTCGGACAAGGGCAAAAAATCTCGGAGGGCCCGTGTGCAAGTTGCGCACGTTAAAGATCCCTTGGTGGTCTAAAATCGATAAGAGTAGGCTTCGGCCGCCACCCGGGCAAAATTCGAAATTTCCAACCAACTGAAAATATTAGGTGTGTCCCGCGCGCTCATATGACCTTATGCAGTTGCGAGCGCCGTAAAACACTTTACCCCCAAAAATATATATATACCTTCAAACTCGTTTATGAATTCTGTACTTACGATATATCTAGCCCAACATTTGGCTGGATTCTCAATTCCACGCAGTAAAATGTAATATAGATATTAAGCTATTACCAAAACTGACGTATCTACCCCCCCCCCCCCCCCCCCCTTCTATCTCTCGATCTCTCTCTCTACCTCTCGCTCTCTCTCTCTCTCTCTCTCTCTCTCTCTCTCTCTCGCTCGCTCTCTCTCTCTCTCTCTCTCTCTTTCTCTCTCTCTCTCTCTCTCTCTCTCTCTCTCTCTCTCTCTCTCTCTCTCTCTCTCTCTCTCTCTCTCTCTCTCTCTCTCTCTCTCTCTCTCTCTCTCTAGGGGGCTATCATGATCTAGAGGTGTTCGCCTCCCGTTCAATAGGTCCCGGGTTGGAAACCTTTAAAATTATCTCCTTTTACCTCCGTTCCTTTTCTTGAACTTATATTACCCTCTATCGTCTGTTTTCATCTCCACTTTCTGCCCTCACCCCCACCCCCACTACCCTTTGCCCCCTCCTTTGGGCGCCTGACTCGATCTTCTGCAGCCTTTCTACTGCTACTCCTTGGCACCTTCTCCCAGCTGTCTTTCAGCCACACCCCTGATATTATCTTAGTGTAGGTAAGATCTAACACCTAGCCTTCTAAGATAAGGGAGAAAAATCCCGGAGGTCCCATGTGCAAGTTGCGCACATTAAAGATCCCTGGATGTCCAAAATCGATAAGAGTGGGCTTTGTTGACAAATCATGGCAATGGAAGTGCATGGCCACCTAATTAATTGCACGAAATACCATTATCTTACGAGAAGTATACACGTTAACAAATCCTTTTAATCAAAATGGCGTAAAGAGTGAAAAAGCAAAACAGGCTAAAATGCCAATTAGATATATTGGCTCCTGTTAAATTCATTCGTAGCGGTGAAAGCCGGGAGGAGGAGGGGGGGGGGTACATTTTAAATTGACGCCAATTATCAAGTTAAGTATAATATGTCTATGTTTTTTAACGAACACTCGTTGAAAACGCTCGTGTCATCTTTCTTGTTTTCACGCATCGATTATTGCAATGCTTTACTAGCTAACTTACCAAATACCTCTCTTCACAAGTTACAACGTTTTCAAAATCATGCTGCTAGGCTTGTACTAAAGAAAAAGAAGAGGGACCACATTACTCCCATGTTAAGAACGTTGCATTGGCTTCCCGTGTCAGCTAGAATGTCATATAAAATTGCAATATTATGTCATAAATGTGTCAATAACAAAGCTCCCTCATATCTTAGTGATCTCATCCAGATTTATGTTCCATCTAGATCACTAAGATCAGGCGACCAGTATCTTTTACGAGTTCCTAGAAAAGGCGGTAAAAAATTAGCCGAAAGATCGTTCGCCCACCTTGCTCCGTCAGTTTGGAACTCTCTTCCCCAACCCGTGAGACATACAACATCTGAGTCTAAATTTAAAAAATCTTTAAAGACACATTTAATGACGTCCTTTTTAAGTCAGTAGATTCATGTTCAATACAATGTTATGTAAATGTCTATGTATCCATTTATGTATTTTGTGAATTGCGGTGTATATATTATTTTATTCTCATTTCGTGACGATGTGTAATCGTGTGCGTGTGATAAGCAAGTAGATGTGTGTGTGTGTGTGTGTGTGTGTGTGTGTGTGTGTATACGGGAAAGTGTGTTTTTTGGTGCCTTTGTGTATGTCAAGGTTTTCGTAAGTCCGCAGAGAGATGTGTTTTTTAATGGA